CTGCGCTGAGCTATTTCTGCCAGCTTGCAAAATAAGATTTTAAAAAGGATATATATTTCTGTCTCTTTCTGTCTCATATCTTTTTCTATTTCTCTATTTATTTTTATCTATCTACCTCTACACTTAACTTCTGTCTACCTGCCTGCCTGCTTGTCTGCCCGACCACCCACCCATCTATCCCTCCACCCACCCACCTACCCATCCCTTCTACCTACCTACGTACCTACCTACTCTATCTATCTATCTATCTATCTATCTATCTATCTATCTATCTATCTATCTATCTATCTATCTATCTATCACACAAGCAAAGGCAGAAGTAATCAATATCTGATACCACACATTTTCCATCCCTTTCTGAGAAGGTCAGAAAAATGCCAATTGCTCCTATAATTTAAAGGCTCTCTGTTTCATTGAATGTTATCACCATTCATTTTTATCTGCAAATTGCTTATTGACTTTATTATGGAAAGCAATAAATTCAGTTTGCAAAAATATGATATTTTATGTAACTTCGGGACTTTATTCAAAAGCTCAACTATTTTCTAGAGTAAATAAAAACAATAAGGGCTTTTTCTTATCAACTATATAACAATAGGGCTATATAACTGTGCAGCTTTAAAGCTTTTTCTGTATATACCTACTCACAAATTCTCAGGGTAGTATATTTTTGCAGTGAATTTGCACAAACCCATATGCCCATTTTCTACTGTGCTTCTGAAAGTCTCTCTGATCTTCATCTACAGGGGGAAGTCCTATTGCTTCACTTGAAACCTTATCAAAGACTAGTCTTGGTGAAACAGACGTATTGTTTCTCAATGTCATACAAATGGCTTTAGGAAATATAATCATGATATATGATGAAACATAACATAGTTTAGAAACTTTAAGTTATTATGGACCAGCTTTCTATCATCTATTATCAAGAAATTAGCTGATAGAAAATTGAATTTAGAAAATTGTAAAAATTGTTCTAAATTGTTCTTTTATTTATTCTCACTTTGTTTACCAATTTCTTTCTTCCTATCATTCTTATTTTTGAAATACATAGATTTATATTTCTGTTGATTAATTTTGGGCTTTAGAATGTTCCTACTGAAAGTGTCATTATATTCTTTGGTGTCGGACTCCGTTAGGGATGATAGATTATCTGAGCCCGCCTTCGCACCCTGCCAATGATATATGCTTCTGGGGAATTGCGACAGCTGCAGCATCGACAGCTGCAGCATCAGAGAATTATGACATTTGAGGGGATCCTCGGTCGTCAGTAACTTGAAGGGAAACTCCTATCTGTGTTTGATGGATTGTTGGACATTACTAGATGATTCTGCAGAAGCCAAACTGAAAGAGATAACAGCTGGTGCAGCTGTTGAATCAACTGGGCTGAAAAAATGGGCAATGGGGATGGGAGTTTTACTATTCAGTTTACTCTCAATGAGATAGGAAGTATGAGCGATAGATAAGTGATAGGGAAGGAAATAGTGGACTTATCAGGTAAACCAGATGATGGGAATAAGGGGTGATTAAGGGAATAATTAGGGGCGTGGATAGGAGATAGAAGCATTTAGGTGGGTGTATTTATACCTTTAAATAACACTGTAAGGCAGAAGCTTCCGTTGCTAACCTAGACTGGTTGGGATACCGTTCTTGTCAGATGGAAAATTTGTTGTTTGACATTAAAAACTCTTGAAACCTGCTTTCTGCTCTGCATGGTGGTTTGTGGTTTGTGTGCAAATCTGCAAGTTTTCAAAGACCGGCTGAGATTCAGTTTTTTAATTTCCTCCCAAATAATCCTGAGTCATCTGTAGAGGTTATGCAACCTCATCAATGACAATTATTGTATGATATTTCTTTGGATACTAGATGAAGCAAGTAAAGCTTATATAAAACCCCTAAGCTCTAAAGTGGATTGGTTAAAAAACTAAACCATGTATGCAATCTCAAATATGTTCTTTCAGAAATGGAATATGTGCTGAGAGACATATAGTTCTTGTCTGCTAGTAATGAGTCTGTTCTCTTTTCAATATTTTAGAAGTGATTCAGACAAAAATATAACTATATATTTTATATATCAATAATTGCACTTCCATTGGCTTGGAATAGGAGGTTATAATGGAATGTGAGTTGGATCCCTTTAAAATATCTACAGAGACATGCATTAATTTAATAACTTTACAAGTATAATAACTTTACAAGTTTAATAACTTTACAAGTTTAATAACTTTACAAGTTTACAAAATAAACTTTACAAGTTCAGTTATAAAAGTGGTTGAGTTCTCTTGTGATGTTCAGAATGTTTAGCACATGAAGAAAGGAAGTATGTGCTCATTGCCACTGATGTTATTTATCCTACTTTAATGTACAGTGTCAAAGTCACGCCTGGGAAAACAAGCTCAGATGACTGCCAGCTCTGAATTGGTATGTCTGTTGAGAATTAACTGGAGTTTACTTTCAGGTAAATAGCAATATTTTTACTCAGAAGTAAATATATAAATATTTACACACATGATCAGATTGCCAGCAAGAAACCCAAAACAAACTACAAATCCTATTAAACTGCATACAAATAACAATATGAATGTTTGTGGATACCAAGGTAGTCATTAAACATATCAATTTGCCTACTTGAAAGCATACATGTGTAAACCATCAGTGTGCAATGCCTATAACTGATAATTATGAATCAATAGGAATATATCTCAGAAGCCTACACAGAGATTCTGCTTCTCACAGGCCTATGAATACTACTAGTAGTCATTTGTCTACGTGCATATTTAAAAATCAACAATATAATATAAGTCATATTCATGCATCAGAGACATTCACACTCAGCCAATAATAAGGAATTCTATTCTGTTCTGTTCTATTCCTTCTATCATCTTCTTATATCCAATTCAGATATATAAAAAGCATAGGTGTAGCCAGCACATTGGTATTGACAACCCTCCCAGCTTCATGCCTGAAATTCTTGTAGTTTAATGTGTTTTTGCTTAAAAACTCTATAAAATTATAGTTTAGGTAGCCACTAACCATTCTTGTTAGCAAAATAACTTGGCTCTTAACTCTAGAATGTTTTGACTGTCAAACAAAATGATAAATGAGGATATGAAAAAAATGACTTAGCCAAATACACAAATGATATTAAAAACTAATGGATAGAATCTCTTATTACACTAAGACAAATTACATAGTCTCTTTAATATTACACATGAACTACAGAAAATATATGATCCAGATCTCTGTTTGTTTTCTGTTACCTGATTGTACCCAACCTCTATTTCAATAACCTATTCATGACTTTAGGCATTTTGGGGATCACCTGATCACTAGAAATGGCTTTTGTGGCTATGTAATGGCTTATAACAGCTATTTATTTGAGTAGAAATACAGATATGTTAATAATAAATAAAACATTTCCTTCAAAATAATTTATGGCACTTCTTCCATAGCCTCTTTAGCCCCTTTTATACTTGTTCTCAAAGAATTTGGTCCTGTTTTCTTATCTTACTTCTTGAAGAAAAGAAATGAGATAAATCTCAAAGTTCATTAATGTCATGACATTAATTAATTAATGTCTTTACTACCATTGCACTTTATTGGCAAATTTATATATAATAAGGAGATAAATTGCTGGACCTATTCTTAACATTTGATTCATTTTTATATAATTTCATTTCTTTGTAGAACAGAGCAGCTAGAAGAAAAATAAATAAAAGTTATTTAATTCTAAAATTAATTTTTTAATTTAATTTAAATTTAAAAAAATTAGAAAATAATTTATGCAGATGTGGTTGCAATTCTGTTTTCCCTCTTTGTAGACCATTCTATACAAAAATAGTTACAATGATGCCCAGATTATAAACATGCTTTCTCATTGCTGATAATGGCATGTTCTCAAATGGACTCTGGTATTTCTAAGATTACTACATCCACTAGGAATGGTTTCTACCATCTTGGCACTATTACAATGAGAGAAGCTGCACTGGATGAACTCTCTTTTCATTGCATTTTAAAGATTCATTAGTCTTCTGCATACTTAGGCTAGAGAAAACTTCATTTTAGTGTCAGCTTTGCATATGAATGGTTCCAAATTCAATACCTGGCATTGTTAGTGAAAACAGTGCTAAACAGTTTTCCTTTCCAAAAATGTGGGCTTTACAAAATCACAGTTTTCAATGAAAATGTCAACCTGATGGAAAAATATGATGGCCTGTGTTAGATCGGGTGCTGATCGGTTCGAAGGAGACGCGAGACCATTTCAGTGATTTCAGCTCTTTATTTAGAATGAAAAAGTCTGGAGAAGTCAAGCCGCGGCAGCCCTTCATATAGGGCTTGCTGCGGCTCGGCGGCCAATGGCAGCGCTTTGAATCTCCCGCGATTGGCACAGCCAATCGCGGTAGATTCTTAACGCTCCAATCACGGCCGGGGTTTCGACCAATCAGGTAGCGATCCGTCTGGACCAATCAGTTTCGAGGGTTTGGAGTATGCTAATATAGTACACCCCTCCCCTCTTGGTTTCGTCTGTCGGTGTATCGTGACGTAGTCGCGTAGGTAGGCGGGGCTTCGTACCTGCCTAGTTGACCTGCGTGGTTCAGTCCTAGTGTGGTCGTTGACCGGTTCGGATGGGTTCTTTGTTGTTCCGGTTCCTTGGAATGGAATAGCCTGGAAGGGTGAGCCTGGCCTTTCTTGGTAGCTCCCTCCCGGTCTACCCGGGCTGGTTGAGCTGCCGCTCCTGATGTTCCCGCCGGATTTTTCCGGGCCGGTTGAACTGGCTTGGCTGTTCCTTCCAGGTGAAGCTTCCGTCGGTTCGTGTCCTGCGTTTACTGGTGAGTAGGACCGGTTTGTTTGTGGGTTATTTGTTCTGGGTGGGGGGTGTTCTGTTTGCGCTAGGAGGTTCCCTTCGGCTCTTTCCATAACGCTTGCCATTTCCCCCCCTCCCTTCTATTTTTTTGCTCGGGTGTATGGGTGTCGGTAATTCTTGATCTTAGTTGGTTGATGTGTCATTTCCAGTTTTTTCCGTCGCTTGTTTCTAGCTGGTATGATAGGGGGCCGGTTATTTGTGTTATTGTTGCTGGTACCCAGAGTGGTTCCCCAGATAAGTTTTTTGCATATACTAGGTCCCCTATGTTATATTTTCTGAGTTTGCTAGAGGAACCCGGAGGTTTTTCCGGGTTATATATTGGGTGCATTCTGTCAAGCGTCGACCATAGTTTTCTGCCCATCATTAGTTCTGCCGGGCTTCTGTTTGTGGTCGCGCTAGGTGTAATGTGTTGAATGAGGAGCATTTTATTAATTCTGTCCTGTATGTTGGTTGCTTCTATTTTCTGGATGGTTTTCTTCGTGTATTGGACCATGCGTTCTGCCCGCCCATTCGCCGCCGGATTTGCAGGCGCGGTTAATGCATGGCGTATGCCCTGGCCTGCCAAGAATTGTTCGAATGCTAGTGCGGTAAACTGGGGCCCATAGTCCGACACTAGCACGTCTGGCAGGCCGTGTGTGGCAAAGAGTTTATTTAGTTTCTTTATTACCGCCTCTGTTGTGGTCGATTTCATGGTGCTTACTTCCAACCAGTTGGAGTAAGCGTCTACTGTGATAAGGTACATGTGTCCCTTGGTTGGCCCCGCGAAGTCTATGTGAATCCTAGACCACGGACCTCTTGGCGTTTCCCACTCTTGGATTGGGGCGGCGGGAGGATTTGGTCTGGATTCTTGGCACTGTTTGCATTTAGCTACCCAGGTTTCGATCTGTTTGTCTATTCCTGGCCACCATGCGTAGCTTCTGGCCACGCTTTTCATCTTAACCATTCCCGGGTGTCCCTCATGCAACATTCCCAGCACCCTTTCCTGTAGTTTATCCGGGATTACCACTCTGTCCCCCCAAAGTATACAGCCCTTCTCGGTCGAGAGTTTGGTTTGTCTGTTTCGGAAGGGTCTGAATAGTTCGTATGTGTTCCCTTCCGGCCACCCTTTTCCAACCCAGCTCAAGACTCACGCCAGCCGCTTGTCTTTATTTGTTTCTCTGGCAATGTCTGGCGCGGTCACGAGTGGGTTGGATATTGTCTCTATTTGAAGTACCTCTGTTGTGGGTGCCGGGTCGTCTTCCTGGTCGGGCAGGGGTGAGTGGCTCAGGGCGTCTGCGTGGGCGATGTCCTTGCCGGGTCGGTGTATCAGCTGATAGTTGTATGCTGCTAGGAATTCGGACCACCTTGTCATTCTTGGTGATAGAATGTTCGGTGTGGCCCTGTTTCCCGCTAGGATTCCTAGCAGCGGTTTGTGATCCGTGATGATTGTAAAAGTCCTACCGTAAAGGTATTCGTGAAATTTCTTGATGCCGGCAACGACTGCTAGGGCCTCCTTGTCGAGCTGGCTGTAGTTCCGCTCTGGTTTTGAAAGTGTCCTTGACGAGAAGGCGATGGGTGCTTCCCTCCCGTCCGGTAGTTGGTGGCTGAGTATGGCGCCGATCCCAAATGGCGATGCGTCGCATGTCACCGTTAATGGCAGGGTCTCACTGTACTGTATGAGTACCACATCAGATGTTAGCAGGTTCTTTGTGTTGTTGAAGGCTCTCTCTTCCCGTGCTCCCCAGGTCCAGGTGGCTGTTTTATCTAACAGCCTATGTAACGGTTCCGCCACGGTCGCCTTTTGAGGTAGAAAGACATTGTAAAAGTTTAACAGTCCCAAGAAAGCCTGTAATTCCGTTTTGTTTTTGGGTCGTGGTGCTTCCCTTATGGCCCTCAGTTTCTTTTCTGTGGGGTGGATCCCTTGTTTGTCTAGGAGGTACCCTAGAAATTCGACCCTCTCAGCCCGTAGCTGGCACTTCCCTTTCTTGACTTTGAGTCCCGAGTCTCTGAATTTCTTCAGTATCTCCCTCAACCTGGCTTCTAGTTGTTTTTCATTTTTTGCGGCCACCAAGACGTCATTGAAATAGGGCACCACCCCTTCTATGCCCTGGAGGAGTCTTTCCATGAGGTTTTGGAAGACCCCAGGTGCCACGCTGATTCCAAATTGGAGCCGGTTGCAGCGGAATGCCCCCCGGTGCGTTACGATGGTCTGGGCTTCGGCGGTTGTGGCGTCGACCGGCAGTTGCTGGTAGTCTTGCACCAGGTCGAGCTTCGCGAAAATCCGGCCTCCCCCCAGTGAGTGCAGAAGGTACTGCACTACTGGGACGGGATATGTGCTTTGTTGGAGCGCGTGATTTAGGGTGGCCTTATAGTCCCTGCAAATTCTCACGGACCCATCTGGCTTGATGGGGGTGACTATGGGGGTCTCCCACCGGGCGTGATCGATTGGCTCCAGTACCCCTTTGCGCGATGAGCTTATCTAGCTGCTCATCGATCTTGGGCTTGAGTGCAAACGGCACTCGCCTGGGCTTAAGGCGGATTGGTGCAATGCTCGGGTCTATATTAAAGGAAATAGGGGACCCCCGGTACTTGCCTAGGCTGTCATCGAAAACTTCCCGGAAGTCCTTCACGAGTGCTGCTTCCCAGTCTGCCTCTTCGACGTGGTGGATTCCGGTTACCTCGATGCCTAGGGGCGCGAACCACTGCAGTCCCAATAGGCTCGGTCGATCTCGGTCGACGATCGTCAGGGGTAGCACTTCAGTGCGGTCCTTGAAGGTGATTTTGAAGTGGCCTCTTCCGACTACAGAGATGCGGTTTCCCTGGTAGTCTTTGAGAGTTAGCGTTTGGTCTTCGAGTTCGTGGTGGCAGATGGTGGGTGCCAGGCGCTTGATGGTGCACCATTAGACCATGGAGAGGAAGGACCCGGAGTCCACCTCCATGTCGCATGGCTGGTCTTCTATCCCCACCATCACGTATACCTTCCTGGCGTCGCTTGTGGAGGAATGGCCGATGACGACGGTCTGGTGTGTTTCCTCCCTTTATCTTGCCTCGTTGAGCCGCCTGTTCCGACCCTCTTGGCTCCAACGGCTCTCCGTCTGGTGATCCCGGGGTCTGGTGCGTGTGTTCTCTCGCCGTCGAGGGCTGCCATCTCGTCGCCTTGGGCTGTAGTGCTTTTTATTTCTGCACACCTTGGTGATGTGCCCCCGTTTCTCGCACGGTCGGCAGATGGCATCGAGGAAATGGCAGTCCGAACGGGGGTGATCGCCCCCGCAGCCGGCGCACTGGAACCTCAACTTACGACCTCGGGGTTCCCGTCGCCCTCGTGCTGCTTGCAGGTGGTGAATTTCCTCCTCCTCGTCCTCGGTCTCTGAGAAGGAGTCAATGTCGCCGTGGTGTGTGGTTGTGTCTTGATGGTCGATTTCGGGCCGCTTTTCTGGATTCGACGTTTCCCCGCCGGTCACTGGTCGTGGCATGATGCTCGATTGCCGCATCCGAGGCGCTGATTTCCTGGCCGCTTCAGCCGCGGCGGCCTCTGTGAGGGCATCGGCGAGGGAGATGTCGCCCTTCGCCATGATGCGGCTCTGGAGAATGGGGTCTTGGAGTCCCAGGACGACGCGGTCTCGCAGGGCTTCGTCCAGATCGGCGAACTCGCACAGGCCGCCCAAGTCTCGTAGTGCTGCTATGAAGTCGCCAAGCCCCTCGCCTTCGCGCTGATCCCGCCTGTAGAAATCGTGCCGCCGGATGAGGATGGGCACAACGGGGGCGTAGTGGCTTCGCAGCAGGGGCTCAAGATCGCCCCATTCCATGGTCTTGACGTCCTCTGGTTTGGCCAAGGCTTTGGCTATCTTAAACACCGCAGGCCCGCAGTGTGTGAGGAACACGGCTCGTTTCTTATGGCCGTTCGCATCTTTAAGATTGCTACTCTCGAGGAACATCTGGAACCTATCGGTATAGGATTCCCAGTCCTCGGTAGCAGGGTTGAAGGGTGCGGGTGGTGAGTTGATGCCGGCCATGCTGCTTGCTGCTGTTTGCCGCCTCGCCATGTGCTGGGTGGTCTCCTTGTCTCACGATCCCACCTTCATCGCCAGTGTTAGATCGGGTGCTGATCGGTTCGAAGGAGACGCGAGACCATTTCAGTGATTTCAGCTCTTTATTTAGAATGAAACAGTCTGGAGAAGTCAAGCCGCGGCAGCCCTTCATATAGGGCTCGCTGCGGCTCGGCGGCCAATGGCAGCGCTTTGAATCTCCCGCGATCGGCACAGCCAATCACGGTAGATTCTTAACGCTCCAATCACGGCCGGGGTTTCGACCAATCAGGTTGCGATCCATCTGGACCAATCAGTTTCGAGGGTTTGGAGTATGCTAATATAGTACAGCCTGAGAGTTAACCTTGGAGTATTATATGTTTACAGCCTTGAATTATTATTATTTTTTCAGTTTTAAGAAGCAAGTATTGGGTGAAGTGAAGAAAACTGGCCTGAGATGATAGAGAATACATGATAGTTAGCATAAACAATAATGGAAAAGCTAGGTCATATAATATCTCATTTGACAAAAGGCAACTGTTTGTATTCCCAGCAAAATGTTTTGGATTAAAAGGTCTACTGCAAGCAAAGCAGTAGTAAGCTCTGCCCTCCTCCTACCCTTCCCATAATGTACATCAGTGCCTTCAAATTGCTTAAGCAAGTCTTTGCAAGTCTTGTGAGGTGTTCAAAAATTACAAGGTGTGCTATATGGTAAATATTCGGACATGTTTTACATGTCCTAGAAATCTAATAATATTGTATTCAACATGACCATATGAACTGGCATATATTTATGTATTCACTTAGGTTTTTTTCCCAGAGTTCCAAAGATGAAAGGAAAGAGAATCCAGTGTATTCATAAGACTCCTTAATCAGTTGTCTCTGACTGTTTTTCTTTCTTTCTGCCAAATACTGCAAAGGGAATAAATACACACAGTGAGTTTGGCCATCTTCCTGAATTACTCAGCTGGAGAATCTCTTTAACGGATATTAAGTCACAGCCTGGGAGAAATGTCACCCTGCTGAAAATCAATATCTCCTTCTCTAGCCATCATTTTAGTGCTTATTCATTAAAACAGCATGTCATTTCCACTGGGTAATTAAAGTGATTCAAAACAAAATCCAAACAACATTATCAAAACAAATACACCAGGGTTGGCTTGAAAATTTTGAAAAACTCCATTCTGACTCTGCTGCCTTCATAAAATGCTGAATCTACAAATCAATCCTTACTAACAGAGGAGAATATGTGCAGCTCAGGGTTTAACTGTGGAGCCCTTGGTGTTCTCTGAACTTGGCTGTTGCTGCTTCTTCATCAGACTAGATAGCATCTTCAATGCGAGCACAACCAATGCAAGCTAGAGATAGACTAATGAATCGACTAAGCACAACTTTAAGCCAATGTTCCATTTAAAAGTGCAAAATCTTTGTGGTTGAATCTGCTTGTCATTATAAAAAGATATGTATACTGATTAAATGGTTGATATTTGAACTTACTCACCTTCAACCAAGGCAAGGAAAGATAAGCAAAACATTAGGATATTGTAAGTTTTGGGTTACATTTTCATGTAATTTCTTTAATTTCATATTCTATGGAATATTTGTAGTTATTATTTTGTAGTATTTATAATGTGTTTGCAGCAGCTAGCATTTAGATGTTCTCCCAGTGTCCTGATTTAATACTCACCTAAAGGTATTGCTATAAAAATAATCTTCTGCCTTCAAATCATGGTGCCTGGGACTGAATATATAGATATAAAAAAGGATCTTCCCTAAATAAAAAAGCAGCTTCCACTTTATCGGAGTTCTCTTCAATTGTATTTCTAATTTGAAGATTAAATATCCAGAGAATCTTTAGCTCTTTTCCCGCTTCTTATACTTACACATGACCATAAAATGTTGTTCACTGAAGATTTAGAATATTAAAAGTATAAATGGCAGTATTTTTCACACAGCTCTAATTCTTAATCTTAACGGAATTTAATGTCTTCATAATTCTTTTGTTCTGAGAACTATATAATTGGTGTGGTAAAATTGCCATTGCTGCTCATTGAAATTGTTCGTTGCAATTGAATTGCAATGTTTAAACTATTCAAGATAGAAAATATAACAGTTTTCAGATGTGTCCCTTCATTTATGTTTGGATTTTTATTTCCTGTTATGTAATTTTCAAAGTTAGATTGTTGTGATGCTTGTGCCAGCAGAACTACAGAGAAGAGTGTTTTTATTCTCCAGATGGAGATCAAACAATTCTGGAAAAAAATGGTAAGACATTTGCAGTTTCCTTGGATCTTGACATGCTTGCAGGTCAAAATAATTCATGTTGTTGCTTATTCATCAGACCACTGGGGCATATGGCAAAGTATGTAAATATTTCCTTTATGCGATACTGTCACAGCTGAAAATGTGTTTATCAAGTTTGTTAAAATTGGGAATATAAAAGTGTTTTCACAAAAAATCCTGTGAGATTAAATTAAGGATTTTCATCTTTAACAAATGTAAAACAGAATGAATCCTATTCTCAAATACCACTTAGTGCATTAACAGATTGTCATAGTATATTTTGGGAATTGTAAGAACTTCACTTAGTGCAACCAGTTAGTGTGCCATTTTTCTAGTAATGTCATTCAGATTGCTCTAGTCTTGTGCAGAATCTATGAGAAGAGCATCATTTTGTCAAATTATCTAGAATTGTTTTTTCTTATAGGTAGTACTCGATGTTATTTAGTGACCATTGGAAGTTACAATGGCACGGGAAAAAGTCACTTATGACTGTTTTTCCCACTTACAACTATTGCTGTATCCCCATGGTCAGGTGGTCAAAATTTAGACATTAACCACCATATTTATAATGGCTGCAGGGATCATCATCTTTTGCAAGCTTCTGATGAGCAAAGTCAAAGGGGAAAACAGAATCACTTAACAACCACGTTACTATTTAAATATCTGCAGTGATTCACTTAACGACTATAGCAAGAAAGATCATAAAATGTAGCAAGAGCAGTTTAACAACTGTTTCACTTAGCAATGCAAATTTTGGGCTCAGTTGTGGTAGTAAGTCAAGAGCTACCTGTATTTAGCATTCTCAGACTGGTGAACTGGAGAGGGAAATCTTAAAAATGTCTTCTGCTATCTGTGGTCTGGATTCATTCCTCTCCTGGCCTTTTCAAACATCAGGAGTGAAAGTAGTTTTCTCGATCTCAAAATTAATACTTCCTTGCGTGCCTCTGTGTGGAGATAGCACCAGTTGCCCTAGTGGTGTACCCTGGTTTGAGTCACATGACTCTTCTGTTGTGCTCCAGAGCTCTAAGCCCTCCAGAGATCCCTCTCTTGCAGTCTCTTCATGAGGATCCACTTTTGGATAATTTCAAGTCTTCTCCTTGTCTGGGGAAGAATTATCAAAGAGCTCATCTACTGACCAGCAATTCATTGTGCCACAATCATTGGATTAGCTATTCACTAAGCCATCTTCATTCCATCTTTTTTTTTCAGAAGACCCATTTCTTTCTTGAAAAATCACTTCGTATTCATCCATTATCTTTACAACAGTTTTAGAATGTAAGTGAAGCTGAACAATGGTCAGCCAGTGAACATCATAACTGAGAAGAGATTTGAATATAAAGTAACCTGTCAGAACTTTATACAGTCTAAGCCTGATGCAGTTCTCATGTCCATTTCTTGTAATAAAACAGCTATTCCCTTAATGACTAATTGAGAAAATAGTGATCTTGCTTTTTATTTTCCTCATTAAAAAGCTAAAATTGTAACTATTCAATTGTAATAGTCATCCCTTAGTGACAGAAACATATATTTCAATTTAACTCAGTTTCAAGCTTATCCTGGCTGAATCAGATGGCTTACTTCTTGTTACTTTCTAAGTCAAATCCCTAATGATTCCAGTCCTGTTTTGTCTGTCTGTATTATTTGGAAAGGAATTGCATCATTTGTGTAAAATTTTGCAACCGCAATCCTGACTTTCTTCATTAACATGATAAGACATCTTTCAATCATACTTCCTTACCTTCCCCTTCCCTTTTTAAGGCCTTGAAAATAAATTATGTGTACATTTTGTGATTTTTAAAAATAATTTCCTTGTTAGCAATTTTTAACTTTGGTAAAGATA